TCTCTTTCTTCCAATATATTGATCAACGTTTTGCACGTCGATCCACATACACAAGTATTGGTTTTAGTGTACTGATCTAACTGATCCCATATTCCCTTTAGTTTAGCATAGTAATCTATGACACTCAGTGACCCTTGTCTGAATTCATTTAATTCCCCTTTCAATTGATATATTCGAGGACCATGCCCTTGATGATATCTTTGTTGGAGTTCAATCCACAACTCTCTAGAATCATCAAAGGAAATTATAGTGTTTTGTATGCTTTTGTCGACGCAATTAAAGATTCATGAAACAACCATAGCATTGCATTTATCCCAAGTATTTTTGTCAATGTCATCCGCCTTATCTTTCTCTAGAGTCCCATCAATGAAACTCAATTTGTTTTTAGATTTTAGAGATCTTTGAAAAGCCCTTTCCCAAATATGATAGTTCTCTCCATTAAGAATGATTTGGCTTAGAAGCATACCTGGACTATCGGACAAGCTCAGATAATATATAGACGTTGGATCGCTAATTGATGGAATTTTGAAAGAGGTGGATGAACTGCTCCCAGTCATTGCTTTAGATAGGAGATTACCCGAAATATGGTTGGATTGAAGAAGTGGTTCGGTACACACCGAACCTCACTGTTACGAGTCACACGACTCCTTTTCTTCGATGGGCACACACCCTCTGAACGGATCAGTGGTGAAACTCACCACCGCTCTGATACCATAAGAAAACCACGAAAAGGAAAAATAAATAAGGAACAACTGATAAAACCATAAGCCTATAATTCAAAGGAGGAGAAGAACAAGGAGAAATTCTTTCTCTTGAAAAAGATATATAAGAGGGGCCGAAGGCCACACTATATATACAAGTTGTGGGCAGAAAAATAGTAAGTAAAAGAAAAAGAAAATAAAGGAAAAAGGAAAGTCTAACAAGATATTATGCACCTTCCTATCTAATCAAGATATTATACACTTTCCTAATTCGTGGGATATACACTTTCTTAATTGTAATTTCTTATTATACACCTTCCTAATTCGTGGGATATTATTCACTTTCCTATTAGAGATAATAAAAAGTTTAAAATACTTCATCAATATTTCTTTTTTCTCAACGATTTTAATCAAAATCAAAGAGTGAAGAACTAACCTCTAATGGGGTTTGTGCCACCGGGGATATCAACGACGATCCTGAAAATAATAGGAAGACATATATCAAGACCCTATTATAGTTTTAGAGAGAGAGAGAGAGAGTATTACCAGTGGACCCATTCACGCATAGTGGGCTGGCTTGGGCTGGGGGCATCTGGGTCTGTCATCACCTGCATCGATCGCCATAAAACTACAATTAAATCTAAAACAAGCATGAAGCAACCCATATAAATTAAGCACAGCCAGACGGAGAGAATTAGAGAGAGAGAAAGAGAAAGCTAACCAGAGTATAGAGATCATCGTTTCGGCCAGAGACGACAACTTTAGGAGGATTGACAGCCATAGAAGGCTTAATATCACAACCGTTGGTGATATGTTCCGTTCCGAAGTAAGCAGACATGGTGACAGTAGGAACAAACATATCGACGACATCGCCTATGACTCGGCCCACAACAAGTGGATCAACTGCAGCAGCCACGGACATGGAGGTAGGCAGAGAGAAGAGACTCAGAGAGAGCAACTGCCGTGATGAAGACGGTGGGTGGGCCTGAGGGGAAGGGAGGGGATTGATGATGAAAATAAAACTTAGTTACAGGCTCAAAAAGCTATATATGGAACTCCCAGGGTGCACTACGTTTACGTGTGGGAACTTTGTCAGTAAATGCCACCATCCGTTATTTTACTGTCGCCACGTTTTGTGCAAATTAAAAGATTTTTCATTAAACTTGTATTATATAGAGCCAAAAAGAAGTGGGGATTTGGGTTTCCGCAGGAAACTTTCAGCAATGAAAAAAGCACTTTTGGATAAGTAAAGTGTGGATATTTATTTTAGTGAATACTGCGCAAAAATAATTACAGCAAAGTACTTAGAATTTCAATTTAATGTTTAACCAAAAGCCAAATACAAGGCACTCACAATGGTGAATGGTGGAAGGAAGTTGCATTTCAATTTAAACGATTTCATATGGTAAATCTCTAGTTCGGATACTTGGGATTTACATATATAGACTGAATGAATTGTTTACCTGACATACAGTGCAAGAGATAGAGAAGGATATCTCCCTTTCATAATATCGAGGCATTCGATCAGTACTCATATCTACTCTTTTCTAATAGAATACTATTTGGAAGATAAAAATCCCTTACATGTTCCAATTATTATTATGGAAATTTTATTGGGATTCTGTCTCCATAAAGGAGAAAGTAACACATTGAGAACACCCCATGGATAACAACATACAAGTTGTTCAGCTGTAGTTAAGGGTGTAATTTTATCGAATTTAAATGAAATTAAGCAATTAATCTGGTTTTCAGATACTGTTGGTAATTCTGGTTTTAATGTCATGTGGATAGCAAAATTGGACTCTTATTGAATGGTTATTTTCTTATATAAATTACAAACCGCCACCCTGTACTTAGGGGTGGTGTAGGGATGTTAATTCGATCCAGTCCAATGTGAGTTCATCACAAATGGACAAGGTTCAATCAAATCCAATCCAATGAATATTTTGGATAATTTTGGATCAGTCTAATTCAATGTCTGTACCATTCAATCTATTCAAATTTGTTTTAATTTAGATTGGTTCCAATCCAATCCTGGTCCATTGATACTTATATTCTTATCCTCTATAAATGGACCAGATATTGGTTCAATCCAACCCAATCCAATATAAATTCATTACGGATGGACCATCCAATCCAATCTAACAAATGCTTTGGACCATTAAATCTGGACTGGTCCAATTCAATATGTTTTGTTGGTTCGTCTAATGGTTCATCTAATCCATCCAAATTGATTTTGGTTTGGATGGGTCCAACCCAATCCTGATCCATTGACACCTATATTCTTATCTTCTATCAATAGACCAGATATTGGGTCAACCCAACCCAATCCAATATAAATTCATTATGGATGGACCAAGTCCAATCCAATCCAACAAATACTTTGGACTATTAAATCTGGACCGGTCCAATTCAATATATCTTGTTGCTCAGTCTAATCCATCCAAATTGATTTTGGTTTGGATGGGTCCAACCCAAAACTGGTCCATCGAAACCCCTAGGTGGTGATGCACTAATGCTTAGCCCCTCAAATTTGTTTTGCGACAAATATCCCCTAGTGAGTACTTTAATTGGAGTTCGGGTCTGCTAACCACGCTTGTATGATCACATAGTTGACCACCGCATGAGAAGATAACACCTATCCATACACACACAATACACTTTGGCATGTGTGGGGAACCAACTGAGGGGTGTTAAGCCCCACCGTTAGCTCCCCAAAAAATATCAAACTTAATTTCAGAAAAAGTTTTCTCTCTTCTTTGTCCCTTAACCCCATCTTTGTCTCCAAATAATGTTCATCTCTGAAATCTTAATCACCATCTCCTCATTTTTCCCTCATTCTCTTTCTGCGTCTCTGAACATTATTCACTGTTTAAAAATTTAAAACCCTAATCACTTCTCTGAACCTTATCTTCCCAACTTGTAATTCGATTATTCCCAACATTCACAACTACCATTGTATTGCTCTCATTGAAGCTACTACAGGTGAGTCTTTTAATGAAAATGATTTTCTACTCTCTAAAAGAATGTTGTGTTTTTTAAGTTAATATTTTATAGGGATTATAGCTGATAAGGGCAACTTTTGAGTCCTAATATCAATAAAAATAATATTTTTAATATAATTTAAAAAATATATAAAAAAGGGCAAAAACACTGTTCATCTTCTTCCTCCTCCAAACCGCCCCAGCCCCACCAACTTCAATGACTACCATCCACTAGTGTCGCCACCGCCACCTCTGCCCACCTCCGACAACGCCAATCTAACGACACGCCTCTACTACACCAGCCTTGGGGTCTTCGCCCTCACCTGGTGTCACAACATCACCGGTCGAGATCTTCAGATCGACCTTCACTTCGATGACCAAGAAGATGAAAATCTCTTCCCCTCCTACCGCCTCCACATAAAACCAATTTTCTTCTGGAGGAAATATGGTTCAAAGAGACTCCACGTCAACAGTCTGACGAAGAAGAAGGTTGAAATCTACTAGGATCTCACTAGAACCAAGTTCATCGCCTATAGCCCCAAACCCCAATCTGGATTCTACATCGCCATCGTCGTTGACGGTTTGATGACCCTTCTTGTTGGTGATTCTCAAAGGGAGGCAGTAGCGGCATTGGTGGATGGTGATCATTGATGTTCGCGGGGCTGGGGTGGTTTGAAGGAGGAAGAAGATGAACAGTGTGTTTGCCATTTTTTGATACATTTTAAAAAAAAAGTTAACCTATTTTAGAAATTATATTAAAAAGATTATTTTCATTGACATTAGGGCTCAAAAGTTGCCCTTATCAGCTATAATCCCTATTTTATATCACTTGGGGGTTTCGTATTGATTTCACCTAACTGCTCTCTAACTCTGCATTTTGGAATGTTTTATTTTCACTGCTTTTCAAGCTTTTTTACCACCAAACATTTGGACCATCGGTCTACTATTTGGAATTTTCTCCTTCCAAAGTTTGAATGAGCCCAAACTTTTCAAGCTTTTTTTATCACTCTTTAGTCACGACTTAAACAAATGGGACCAAACCTATATAACCACATTGCCATACCAGCAAATATCCATGTGCCATTACAGTTCAGAAGAACAAGATAAAAAATGAGTGATAAATTTATTGGGGTATATTTTCAACTATGTCAATATCCTTGTTTGATATATTTTATTTATGTCTTCTTCATAGTTTTTATTGGCTTCTCACATTTCTTTCTTATTTTTTTTTAGGCAAACTTGGACTTTGGGGGTTTTTTGTTCATAGTAATTGAATCACTTTAAGCACGTGATGCATTTTGGCTTATAAAATCAAGAGATGGCAATATTTTGAGTATTAAAATGAATGATTAAAGAGAAAAAGTTAGTTTTTACAATTTAACTATCATTGTAATAACACGTAGGGCTTCTTGAAAGATGGCAGATCAAGTCTATTTACTCCCACACACTTATTAAAAATTCTATTGAGTATCATTTTGATTATAATGATTTGATATTAAAGATGCCAAGATTGTATTGGAACCTTCTACCATATTATATTGTACCTTGAATCCCAAAATATAATCCTTTTAATTTTTATTATCAAAACAAAAGGTTATTTCTCAAATTAGTTTATCCATTTTTATATTTAAATTGGGGGAGTGTAGTAATTCTAATTTATGGAATACTGCTAAGGAGTGTTCTAGCTCCTACTTTGATTTATTATTTTTAGTAGCATTATAGTCATTTATTTGGAATTTTGAACAAATAGGAACTTGATTAATTCTATGAGAAATTACATAATTTTGGAAGGAACGGTATAGTATATTACTTTGCACAATTAGCCACATAGTGGGTCAGCCTAGGGTGATGAATGAATAAACTTTCCAGGTGCTCTTACAATGGTTAATTTAAAATTTTGAAACCACTATCAATAAAATGACAAAAACTATATGCTTCCCAAACCGAATACTGATATTTCCTTCTCAAATTGTTCTAGACCCTCTTTCTCTTCAATCCACTTTCTTCTATTGGTTCATTTATCCATCTATTTGATGCATGTGCCAATTCAAACACTTCATCAAAATTATAAGGGATACCCCATCCAAAATAATTACATTTTCTACTTGCATAGATGAAGAACATCTTCTTGTTTTTTATTTTCATCTTGATTGGATATCTTTGGTGTAGCGTTTGGCTTGTGTGGACATTTGCAATGATGGTTCACATATTTCAGCACACATGCTCTAGAACTTGAAGAAATCTGACGTGTATGCACTACTTAGCAAGCAAAATAAATAAATAAATAAAAAGATACAACTTAAATTTTAAATATGAACATCTTCTACAAATGCCACATATCAGGCTAGCATGTGCGTTGTTGTTTATTTCCAGTTCAACTGTTCAAGTTTCAGTTGCATTAGATAAAGAAACCATGGGTATACTAACAGATCTAGTAACTAATAAATAATAGTTTTGCCTATATTATATACTCATACATTATTTTCTTCTTGGCACAAAACTTTCTCAACATGATGTTGGGTGGATAGGAAGCAAAAATGTTTCTCAGAGCACTACGATTAAAAGTCCCACCCTACCTCCTCTTCTAGAGCAATGTTTCTCAGAGCACTTGTGTAAATAAAGTCATTGTATGGCAACTCTCAATCATTTGGAAATATACGCCTAACTAGTGGATGTGTTGTTCTCGGGGTTGAGATTAATGTAAGTAATCTTCGGCACATATGTTTCAACGCAGATATTGGCATTGGTCAGTTTGTGAGCCATCCAATTAACCAGTCTAGCATTTCCATTCAGAATTAAAAAAAGAACAAATAAACGAAATGGATGTTATCCATTAAAGAAATAACAACAAGAGACGTCTAAAATCCAATAAAAGATAAATTTAGTGAAGTTGCTGTACCAGTGCCCTATGCCTTCAACCAAAAACAAAGAGGGGAATAAGGTATAAGTATAAATTAAACAGAGAACTTAGAGAAGTTTTGAAAGACTCACCTGTAGTAGCACCAACAAGAGTAGAATGACAGTAGTTCAAATGCCGGGGATAATCAGATTCCAATAAGTTGAGAAAATCGGATTACAAGTTGGGAAGATAAGGTTCAAAGAAGTAATTAATTAGGGTTTTAAATTTTTAAATAGTGAACAGTGTTCAGAGATAAATTACAGAGAGTGAAGTTCAGAGACGCAGAGAGAGAATGAGGGAGAAATGAGGAGATAGGTGATTAAGATTTCAGAGATGAACAGTTTTTGGAGACAAAGAAGAGAGAAAACTTTTTCTGAAATTGAGTTTGAAATTTTTTTGGGAGCTAACGATCGGGCTCAACACCCCTCCGTTAGTTTCCCACACATGTCAAAGTGTTTTGTGTGTATATGGACAGGTGTTATCTTCTCATGCGATGGTCAGCTATGTAGTTATACAAGCGTGGTCAGCAGATCTGATCTCCTTTAATTGCTCCTTATTCAAGCAAAAGATGTTAATGAGGAAGATAAAATTACTAAATTGCCTATTTAAGATTAATATCTGATAGAAAAATCCATCAAAATGATGAAAATGG